ATTTATATTTATTTATATTTATTTATATTTATTTATATTTATATTTATTTATATTTATTTATATTTATTTATTTATTTATGTTTGTTAATTCGTTTTATATATTTATCAATTCACCATGTATATTTATCTATATTTATTTATATTTATTTATTTATATTTATTTATTTGTTTATATTTATTTATTTATATTTATTTGTGTATATTTATATTTATGTATATATCTGTGTGTGTCTACCTTTGCTGCTTCTTCTTCTTCTTCTTCGTCTTTGTTTGGTGTTTAGTGTTTGATCTTGTTATTTTTATTCATATACATAAATATATATACTTTAAATATTTATATATATCTGTTTATTTATTTATTTATTTATTTATTTAGGATGTTTATCTAGGGTTTAGACTTTGTTGTTCGTGGTTAATGGGTACTAATGGTTATTAATGGTTTAGGGTTTAGGGTATAGGGTTTAGGGTTTAGGGTTTAGGGTTTAGGGTATATATATGTATATGTATATGTATATGCATGCAGGGGCGAGCTGTTCATTTGCACATAGTAGAGAAGAGCTTCGTTTTACTGTTGCTTTCTTTAAGACAAACATCTGTAGAAATTGGCTGAGCGGCCGCTGTCTGCATCCAAACTCTTGTAATCATGCACATGGTGAAGAAGAGCTGTTATTTTTTAGGACTCTTGCTGCTAGCATGGGTGCTAGAGATTTTATAAAGGAGAAAGGGGCAGTTAAGCCTCATGCATCTTCTGACTTTATTAAACATCCGGCGCATCATCATCATAAGAACCCGCAGCAGCATCAACACATCCAGCAGCAACAACTGCAGCAGCAACAGCAACAAATCCAGCAGCACCATTTACATATGCAGCACCAAATGCAACAAGTTATTCAGCATGCGCAGCATATGCAGCAAAAGAAACAGCAGCATACCCATACAAATACACATAAAAATACAGCACAAAGGGGGGCAAGGCAGACACAACCAGCTGCTGCTGCTGCTGCTGCTGCTGCTGCTGCTGCGACAGGAGCAGCGCTACAGCAAAGACAAGGCAACAGCAAACAACAGCAGCAACAGCAACCAAAACAAACAACTCTTGATGCTCTCTCCGGAAGGCTGCTGCAGTCCCTCGTCTATCATCTGCAGCAGCAGCAACAGCAGCCACAGCAGCACCAGCAACACCAGCAGCAGCAGCAGCAGCAAATAGATTCATTCGACAACTTACCCAGCAGCTGGCCGGCACTGCAACAGGCAAAGCCCCTTGCACCACCTGGCAGTGCTGCTGCTGTTGTCGCTCCAGCAGCAGCAGACCCAACATCTGCTGCTGCTGCTGCTGCTGCTGCTGCTGCTGCTGCTGCTGGGAATACCCCACAGTGCCTTGAGAGTAAACGCCTCCGACGCATGCGGGGGAAGCAGAGAGGCAGCGAAGTGCAGCAAAAGCTGCAGCGCGACTCTACCTTGGGGCTGCCCTCAATATGCATGCAGCACAGCAGCTTCCAGGAGCAGCAGCAGCAGCAACAGCAGCAGCAGCAGCAGCAGGACGGCACAGCCCAATCCGGTGCTGTTACTTCAGCCCTCCTTCAAATGCTGCAAGCTACAAACACACAGCTGGCGAACCTCACAGGCTGTGGGCTCTTCCTTGATGCCCTAGAGCAGCAGCAGCAGCAGCAACAGCAGCAGCAGCAGCAGCAGCAGCAGCAACAGGAGGAACTAGAAGCCTTGGGCCTGGGTGAGGTGGTGTTTGGCTCACAGGAAGGCAAGGGTTTGCAGCAGCAGCAACAGCAGCAGCAGCAACAGCAACAACAGCAGCAACAGCAGCAGCAACAGCAGCAGCAACAGCAGCAGCAGCAGCAGCAGCAGCAGGGGCCCCCCCACAAGCCTCCTCGGGGGCCCCCTATGCTAGTTACGAAAGGCTCTCTACCTGTTCGAAGTGCAGGCAGTAAAGTTTGTGTAGAGACAAACTACTGGGAATTAGAGAGCACTGAGAGCTCAGAGACAGTCAGCAGCACAGCAGGAACGAGCGAAGAAAGCAGCAGCAGCAGCAGCAGCAACAGCAGCAGCAAAGACCAACTCGCAGCAACAGACAACAGAGAAGAGTGGAGCGAACAGCAGCAGCAGCAGCAGCAGCAGCAACAGCAACAGCAAAAGCAACAGCAGCAGCCGCAGCAACAGCTCCAACTACAACAGGTCCAGATCCAGCAGCCGCAGCAACAGCAACAGCAGCAGCAACAGCAGCAGCAGCAGCAGCAGCAACAGCAGCAGCAGCTGCTGCTAGAGCAAGCACATTCAATTGCTGATCGCCTCGGTGCGCTCTCACCGTTTGCCTACGCTGATATTTTTGCAGGTGGCGAGGAGCTGCAGCAGCTACAGCAGCTGCAGCAGCTGCAGCAGCTGCAGCAGCAGCAGCAGCAGCAACAGCAGCAGCAGCCGCAGCCGCAGCAACAGGGCGGAGCAGCAGGAAGCTCAGGCTCTTTAAATATATTTAGCTGGTGAAGGTCAGACTCATTCTGCTTAGAAGAGCATGCAACATATAAACAAAGAGATGTGCATACACACGAAATTTATCTGCAGCAGCAACTGCTGCGCTGTCTTGCTGAGTTGTTTTTATCAAAGTGTAGATTGTCTAACCACACCTCCTTCGTCTTTGTTTCTTTCTCTGTGAATCCCAGGCAGCTAGCTATCTACTTGCTGCTGCAGTTGCTGCTGCTGCAGGTGCTGCTGCTGCAGTTGCTGCTGCTGCAGTTGCTGCTGCAGTTGCTGCTGCAGTTGCTGCTGCAGTTGCTGCTGCAGTTGCTGCTGGTTTGAGTGTGCTTCTGAAGAAGAAGAGGAGGAGGGCTTCTCTTTGCTGCCTGATGCTTCTGTTGCTGTTATTTGTTTAGTTTAGTTTATCTTTTGCATGTCTTTGAGGGTTTATTTCTTTTAAATGATTATATAAATATATATATTATATATATGTATTATATATTATATATCTATTTATTTATTTGTTTATTTATTTATTTATTTATTTATTTATTTGCTTATTTACATTTTGTTTTTCTTTATGAATGCAAAGTGTGCATATATATATTTATTACTCATATAAATATGTATATATTCATGATCGTTATATATATAATAAAACTAAATATATATATAAAAATATATATATAAATATAAATATAAATATATATATAAATATAAATATATATATACAGCTATACTAACGTCCACCTCGTCTTGCACACACTTTCTCTTACTTTTTTTTCTTCTTTGATTGCTTTTTGTTTATTTACGTCTTTGTTTGTTTGTTTAGTTTGTTTTGTTTGTTTATTTTGTTTGTTTTGTTTATAAACCGTGAAGTAAAGTATTAATATGCGCTGAAGAAAGAAGTTGTTATGTAGATGTATATAATTGTTTATTAGAGACATATATTGTATATAATAAATAAATAAAGCAAAAGAATATTAAAAAGAATAACAAGAGGTGAGAAGTGCTAGGATGGGTAGGACATATTACTTTCATATATTTGTTTATTATTTATAAATATGCAGCAGCTTCTGCTGCTCTCTACTCTTTTAATTTGCTTATTGTTTGTTTATTTGCTTGTCTTCAGGTGTACGTACACCTGCATAATGCATGCAGGTGCAAATATATAATATATATAATATATATACAATATATATATTATATATTATATATATTATATATATTATATATACGTACACTGTATATACATCGCATTTTTTTATCAACATTAATTATATTATTATTATTGTTATTATTATTATTATATTATATTCTGCTTTATTATATTATTCTTGTTTGTATATTTTAATAACAAAACCTAAAAAAGAAGAAAGCGAAACAACGGGTGGATAAGAGTGCCCGTCTAAATGTCTATGATAATATATATATAAACAACAGTAAATATATATTATATATATTATATAATATATTATATATATTATATGTATTATAGATACTATATATATTATATATATTCCATATATATTATATATATTGTATATATATTATATATATTATACATAATATTATATAATATGTATTATATATTATATGCATTACATATATTATTTATATTCTATCATCGTATATATATTATCTATGTATTATATATAATATATATATATATTATATATATATTATATATATTATATGTATAGCTATATCTTATAAACCAACAATATATAAATATATATATTTATATATATTTATATATATTTATATATACATTATTTTTGCGTCAGAAGTGCAGCTGAAAACCTTCTTTGCTTCGTCTTTTAAGTTGTCTTTAACACAGCATAAACAAATAGATAAATATATATAAATATATATATATATATATTTATATATATTTATTTATGTATATAGTTAGACATATTATACACAGTATAGAAATATTTAGATATTTATTAGTTGTTAATAATATACTGAACTCTACTGTATATAATCTGCAATAGTAATCGTATAGTTAAGTGTATTATATATAATATAAATATAATATATATAGTATATATATGTATATATATATATATATATTATATAATTATATAACATTACTTTGTATAGAGTGCAGATTAAAGGCTGCAGAAGAGGTAGCTGAGGCCTCGGAGAGTGCAGCAAAATAAAAGACGAAAAGACGCAGCAAATTAGTTTAAATAAGAAAGACAAACAGAAACATCAAACAAAGGCTAAGAAAAATGCATATAAATAAATATATATATTTATATTTATTTATTTATTTATTTATTATGTGCGTGCATAGAATGAGGAGACGATGACAGAAGAACAGCTAACAGCAAAACAGAAGAAATAATATAATGCTGTTTAAATGCAGTCGGTGCAGGTAAACAGCATTATAAAATATATTCAGAGAAGAAATATATATATATAGGTGTATATATATGTATATATACAAATATACATATATGCATATATATATATATATATATATATA